GTTTTTGAGTGTGTGTGTGTGTGACTGATATACCCAGCTTCCCGGAGTGTAACTAATACTAATTGTCTAGGACGGGTTATAGCACGAATGAGTTTTTGATTCCTGGCTGCGTTCGAGGCTGCAGTACTACCCTTTAATTCTCTTTCGCTTGTAACCAAATGAATAGGGTTACCTGGAGGTTACCTGGAGGTTATTCCGGGGATCAACGCCCCCGCGGCCCGGTCCACGACCAGGCCTCCCGATGGATCAGGGCCTGATCAACTAGGCTGTTACTGCTGGCCGCACGCAGTCCGACGTACGAGCCACAGCCCGGCTGATCCGGCACTGACTTTAGGTATCTGTCCAGCTCTCTCTTGAAGGCAGCCAGGGGTTTATTGGCAATTCCCCTAATGCTTGATGGGAGGCTGTTGAACAGTTTTGGGCCCCGGACACTTATGGTGTTTTCTCTTAGTGTACCAATGGCGCCCCTACTTTTTATTGGCGGCATTTTGCATCGCCTGCCCAGTCTTTTACTTTCGTAGGGAGTGATTTCTGTGTGCAGATTTGGGACCATTCCTTCCAAGATTTTCCAAGTGTAGATTATGATATCTCTCTCCCTCCTGCGTTCCAACGAGTACAAGTCAAGTGCTTCCAAGCGTTCCCAGTAGTTAAGGTGCTTGACAGAACTTATACGTGCAGTAAAGGATCTCTGTACACTGTACACTGCTTATAACTATAACCATGACTTTTGAAGAGATGGATCGGTATGCCAGCGGAAGGCCTCGGTCACATGACCAAAAGCTCCAACTGTGGGGTCATCATAAGACCCAAGTAAGGAAACACCTGTCCTGTTTACTGACGAGCATTATACCTTAACTTTATCTCTCTCTTCTAAACAGATTTGGTAGGAACCTCGTCACTCTCATCGCCATGGATGAGATTTATCTAAAACGTATTTAGTTGGATTAGGCTAAATTAAATTGCGCTTGTTATGATAAGGCTAGGTATGTTTTCTAAGGTTCCTCTGGCACAAAATTATTAATTTTTACATTAACATAAATGAAAAAATATTTCTTTAAATGTATAAGAGAAAATTTTAGAAAGGACTTAATTTTAAAAGAGTTCTTGCTAACTGACCAGTTTTAACTATTCGGCACGACATATATATATATATATATTTTTTTTATTAACACACTGGCCGATTCCCACTAAGGCAGGGTGGCCCGAAAAAGAAAAACTTTCACCATCATTCATTCCATCACTGTCTTGCCAGAAGGGTGCTTTACACTACAGTTTAAACTGCAACATTAACACCCCTCCTTCAGAGTGCAGGCACTGTACTTCCCATCTCCAGGACTCAAGTCCGGCCTGCCGGTTTCCCTGAATCCCTTCATAAATGTTGCTTTGTTCACACTCCAACAGCATATATATATATATATATATATATATATATATATATATATATATATATATATATATATATATATATATATATTTTATATATATATATATCAATAACAACACCGCGCTAGCCAAGGATTCGAACCCATGTTGTACTGGCCTGCCTCATGGTAAGCGAGAACCACATGACGCTTTAAACCACAGGACCACCCAACCCTACTTCCTTGGCTAGCGCTGTGTTGTTATTGATCAATACCACTCGTTCGTGGTTACAATAATACATACATACATATATATATATATATATATATATATATATATATATATATATATATATATATATATATATATATATATATATATATATATATATATATGTATATATATATATATATATAATATATATAAAGTATATATGTATGTATATTATATACCTACAACATCATGAGAGGAGAAATAGTGATGCTCTTTGATAGGGCTTAATTACAGGGGTCATCTAGGATGAATTTAAGTCCCCTTCTCTCTTGTTTCAGGTAATTACGAAGCGAGCGGGTAGAGTAATTACTTCATGTGAAGGCGCTCGGAACCACCCCTTTAATGATCCTTATCTAATTGAAGAGGAGGAAGATTAAGAGGAGGAGGAGGAGGAAGAGGAAGAAAAGGAGGAGGAGGAGGAATAAGAGGAGGAGGAGGAGGAGGAGGAGGAGTAGGAGGAGCATGATTGGCTGAAATAGCCAGGTGGGTTGGTCTCTTATGTATTCTTGTCTTACGGGGGAAATTCATTAGTTTTAGAGAAAGTTCTTAGTGCCGTTGTTAATGAGAATTTATGGCAGGAGAGATTACTGGTATTCCTTCATAAACACACACACACACACGCACACACACACACACACACACACACACACACACACACACACACACCACACACCACACCACACACCACACACACACACACACACACACACACACACCACACACACACACACACACACACACACACACACACACACACACACACACACACACACACACACACACACACACACACACACACACACACACACACACACACACACACACACACACACACACACACACACACACACACACACACATTGAACATTTCAGAACCCATATGGTGGGGAGGAAATGGGTTCTGGCAACAGTTAAACCTGTGAAACATTGAGAACTTGATTCACCATATTCTTGGCTGTCTGAGGACGTGATTCATCATATTCTTGGCTGTCTGAGGACGTGATTCATCATATTCTTGGCTGTCTGAGGACGTGATTCACCATATTCTTGGCAGTCTGAGGACGTGATTCACCATATTCTTGGCTGTCTAAGGACGTGATTCATCATATTCTTTGCAGTCTGAGGACGTGATTCACCATATTCTTGGCTGTCTAAGGACGTGATTCACAATATTCTTGGCAGTCTGAGGACGTGATTCACCATATTCTTGGCTGTCTAAGGACGTGATTCATCATATTCTTGGCTGTCTGAGGACGTGATTCATCATATTCTTGGCTGTCTGAGGACGTGAATCATCATATTCTTGGCTGTCTGAGGACGTGATTCATCATGTTCTTGGCTGTCTGAGGACATGAATCATCATATTCTTGGCTGTCTGAGGACGTGATTCATCATATTCTTGGCTGTCTGAGGACGTGATTCACCATATTCTTGGCAGTCTGAGGACGTGATTCACCATATTCTTGGCTGTCTAAGGACGTGATTCACTATATTCTTGGCAGTCTGAGGACGTGATTCACCATATTCTTGGCTGTCTAAGGACGTGATTCATCATATTCTTGGCTGTCTAAGGACGTGATTCATCATATTCTTGGCAGTCTGAGGACGTGATTCACCATATTCTTGGCTGTCTAAGGACGTGATTCATTATATTCTTGGCAGTCTGAGGACGTGATTCACCATATTCTTGGCTGTCTAAGGACGTGATTCATCATATTCTTGGCTGTCTAAGGACGTGATTCACCATATTCTTGGCAGTCTGAGGACGTGATTCACCATATTCTTGGCTGTCTAAGGACGTGATTCATCATATTCTTGGCTGTCTAAGGACGTGAGTCATCATATTCTTTGCAGTCTGAGGACGTGATTCACCATATTCTTGGCTGTCTAAGGACGTGATTCATCATATTCTTGGCTGTCTAAGGACGTGATTCATCATATTCTTGGCAGTCTGAGGACGTGATTCACCATATTCTTGGCTGTCTAAAGACGTGATTCATTATATTCTTGGCAGTCTGAGGACGTGATTCACCATATTCTTGGCAGTCTGAAGACGTGATTCACCATATTCTTGGCTGTCTAAGGACGTGATTCATAATATTCTTGACAGTCTGAGGACGTGATTCACCATATTCTTGGCTGTCTAAGGACGTGATTCATCATATTCTTGGCTGTCTGAGGACGTGATTCACCATATTCTTGGCTGTCTGAGGACGTGATTCACCATATTCTTGGCTGTCTATGGACGTGATTCACCATACTCTTGGCAGTCTGAGGACGTGATTCACCATATTCTTGACTGTCTAAGGACGTGATTCATCATATTATTGGCTGTCTGAGGACGTGATTCACCATATTCTTGGCTGTCTAAGGACGTGATTCACCATATTCTTGGCAGTCTGAGGACGTTATTCACCATATTCTTGGCAGTCTGAGGACGTGATTCACCATATTCTTGGCTGTCTAAGGACGTGATTCACCATATTTTTGGCAGTCTGAGGACGCGATTCACCATATTCTTGGCTGTCTAAGGACGTGATTCATCATATTCTTGGCTGTCTGAGGACGTGATTCACCATATTCTTGGCTGTCTAAGGACGTGATTCACCATATTCTTGGCTGTCTAAGGACATGATTCACCATATTCTTGGCTGTCTAAGGACGTGATTCACCATATTCTTGACTGTCTAAGGACGTGATTCACCATATTCTTGGCTGTCTGAGGACGTGATTCACCATATTCTTGGCTGTCTAAGGACATTTTTACCCATCTTTCACTCCGTGTGTAAAATATTCTTTTTCGGCCTAAATTTAATATTACGTATCCTTGTTAAAAGTAAAAAATAAAAATACCTACAAGTGTCCCACATTAAATTCCAAAACTTATTTGTTATGTGACCCTCAAGGCTTTATTTTTAAGTACTTACATGTTTTTCTTTGTTCCAATGTCTTGTTTTTAACTTGAGAACGTCTCATTCGCTCGGCTTGAAACTTTCAACGCTGCTGTGCTGTAACAGGGGAAGGGCTCGTACTGTCTATTGACATTTGAAGGGGCTCTCTGCTAAGTCTTAATAAATAGATCGTTTCCTATTTTGGTTTGTGTGTGATAACCTGAGAAAGTCTCGTCTGTTCTGCTTCGCAGTTCTCAGTACAGGTGTATCCTATGTCACAGGTTTTTTTTTGGTTGCACAAGTGTCTTTATCGTCAAAGTGCTGTTGCTATTTTAGATAAAAAAAAAAAAACAGGAGCAACAGCCTCGAGTAGTGGAGAGAACAAAGGGACAGTAACACAAGAACAATTCTGTCATATTTTATTAAATAACAGTACACATACAAAAGACGTGTAGATGAGACATTTCTCCCCCCAGACTTACTTCTCCCACCACAAAATTCTTACCATACCTTCCCTACCACACCACCACCACACAACTATCACTGTCTCCTCCACATCTGTGCCATTAAATCAGCTATACCATACATCACACACAACACAACACAACACAACACAACACAACACAACACACACAACCACCACACACACACACACACACACACACACACACACACACACACACACACACACACACACACACACACATATATAGTAGCGTGGATTACTTCCCCTTCGTTGCTTGTGTCTGTCGTTCGTGCTTGTTGGGTTGGAGGCGTTGATGCGCCTGGCGTTAGCGGAGTGTCTGGCGTTGGTGCAGGCTCAGACGCGATCCTGGCGTGTCCTAGCTGGCGGCGAGGATGAGGGAGGAGGCGAGGAGGGCGAGGAGCGCTAAGGAGGGACAGTCAGCTAGCGTCCCTCCGTCAGTAGTGGAGTGCTGCATCGCTGCAGAACTTTCTCCTGAAGAGGAGAGAGACGCAAGCTGTTAGACTGAGAAATACCGAGAGAACAGGAGACTGTCAGAGTCACTGATTCAGCTGAGGAATTTCAGACACCTATTGAACACCTGCGTACCTTTATTTAATTGAAAAAGACACGTGAGCTGACACTAGGACGTATTTATTAGAAATCGTGTCGGTCCTGGTACCTTGATGACTTTTAATGTAATATTCCTATGTCCTTTCACCTGTTTTTTAAATCAAATCATCGCTATCTATTACCGAGGTTTATACCACACCTTTATTTAAAGGCGTTCACCCAACCAGTGACCTTTTTCTTCAAATCAATACGCAGATACTGGAAGTCTTCCAAAGGTACCAAGGTGTTACAGACATGTCTAATTATTCATCATGTCGACACTCTCTGCCATTGATTGTAACGAAACTGATCTAAACTCACGAAACTGAACCAACACCATTGCTGAACAAACCACGGAACGGCCTGGAGCTTCACGACTCACTCGCCACGGGTACGAACCTCACCCGTTCCGTGGTTTGAAACTGATCTACGAACAAAAATCTGGGAAACAAAGAAACAGTGAGAAAACAGTGTGTGTGTGTGTCTCACCTTCAAGAATTTGAACTCTGGCTTGAGAAACACAGTTACAAGCAACTGAAATACTAAATTAACAAAAAATAACTTTTAAGATAATAAGGCTGGAATTACTTTATTACATGTTAAACTCCTAAAAAAATAATCCTTGATATATCCTAATAGTAATTACTAACTTTAGACGAAAATGCAACTTGGGCACAGCTGGTGTGTCAAATATTCTCGTAACAATAGCTTGTGTCAGATATTCTTATAACAACAGCTGGTGTCAGATATATTTGTAAAAACAGCTGGTGTGTCAGATAGTTTTGTAACAGCTGGTGTGTCAGATATTCTTATAACAGCTGGTGTGTCAGAAATTCTTATAACAACAGCTGGTGTGTCAGATACTCTTGTAGCAACAGCTGGTGTGTCAGATACTCTTGTAGCAACAGCTGGTGTGTTAAATACCGACACTTGGGGAAACGAGACGTATGTGCAGTGTGAGGATATCTTATTGAGGTAACGTTTCGCCCAACAAATGCCTTCTTCAGTCCTTAAGAGATACGCTCCGTCTGTAATAATAATAATAATAATAATAATAATAATAATAATCTTTATTTCTACAAGTACATGATACAACTTATACAGACCATAGCTCACACCAATGACATACTACTATATAGAAAGTCCCTTGGTATGCAGAACATTTAGGGCAAATTAGGTAAATTTTGTCCCAGGATGCGACCCACACTAGTCAACTAACATCCAAGTTCCTATTTTACTGATGGGAGAACCTGGACAGCAGGTGTCTTATGGAAACACGTCCCTAATATTTTCAGCCGTTCCGGAAATCGACCCCCGGACCTCACTGTGTGTGAGCTGAGTGCACCAGCGATCGAGCTACGGGACATCTGTAGCTACCTCTGTAGGGATGACGAAGCCATTCGTGGCGAAACTCTGCATGGCTAAAGAAGCCATTCGTGGCGAAACGTCTCCTCAACAAAATATCCTGTTCTTCAAGTTTCTCCTACGTATGGACTGATGAAGCCACTGTGTGGCGAAACGTTTCCACAATAAAGATACCCAAGAGTTGCACATGTGTCTAATTTATCAACATGTCGGTTCTCTGAACCATTCATCTGCAAAATATCACAACAACTCCAAAGGCGTTGTAATTCTCATTCTTGAAAAAGCATTTACAAATATATAGAGAATAAATTCCAAGCGTGTTCCTTGTCAATGTTCTAACTACACTGTTCTCCCTCACTCTTTCACTAACTCACCGTCAAGAACGTGGACTCTGACGGAGGTGTTGACGGCGTCACCGGCGCTACAAGTATAGTTGCCGGAGTCTCTGACGGAGGCGCGAGCGATGTGAAGCCAAGAACTGAGTCCCGCGCCCATGAGCGACGTGTCTACCCTGCAGGTAGATAGATAGGTAGAGTATCAAATGACCATACATAAAAGTGGTGGAATTGGTGTTGTTATAGTGGCACTGGCGTCGTCACAGTGGCACTGGCAATCGTCCATAGGTTAGCACTGCATGGCCTGCGCGCCATAGTGGCACTGGCATCGCCATAGTGGCACCGATAACCCAGCCTAAAACCTTCTCCTCACGACACTATTTTACCATTACACGGGAATTTTATCCCACAAAATCATGTTTGGAGTGCATTATCTCCACCACTCAGGGCTGACTTATCGACCTCTCTCTCTCTCTCTCTCTCTCTCTCTCCTCTCTCTCTCCTCCTCCTCCCTCCCTCTCTCTCTCTCTCTCTCCTCCTCTCTCTCTCTCTCTCTCTCTCTCTCTCTCTCTCAAACACCCCTTCCTAGCGATCCAATTTCTAACTTCGGATGACTTTTGATTTCGTCCGGTCATCATACTCAGATTCCTCCTCCCACATTCCCCCTTCCCTTATTCACCCACCTGATGCCCCTCTCCGGCTGGGTGGTGAGTGGGTGGTGGGTCCTGGACCAGCGGACTGGGCGGGTGGGCGGCGCGGGCGTCACCACACACTGTAGACCAACGGTGGAGTCGACACGATAGTAAGCCTCGGTAACTGCCGCTCCCCGTGGGTCCCTGATCTCTATCTCAGGCACTGTGGGTGAGACACTGTGGGTGAGACACTGTGGGTGAGACACTGAGGGTGAGACACTGTGGGTGAGACACTGTGGGTGAGACACTGTGGGTGAGACACTGTGGGTGAGACACTGTGGGTGAGACACTGTGTGTAGGACACTGAGGGTGAGACACTGTGGGTGAGACACTGTGGGTGAGACACTGTGGGTGAGACACTGTGGGTGAGACACTGTGGGTAGGACACTGAGGATGAGACACTGTGGGTGAGACACAGTGGGTGAGACAATGTGGGTGAGATACTCTGGGAGAGACACTGTGGGTGAGACACTGTGGGTGAGACACTGTGGGTAAGACACTGTGGGTGAGACACTGTGGGTGAGACACTGTGGGTGAGACAATGTGGGTGAGATACTCTGGGAGAGACACTGTGGGTGAGACACTGTGGGTGAGACACTGTGGGTGAGACACTGTGGGTGAGACACTGTGGGTGAGACACTGTGGGTGAGACAATTGTGACACTGTGGTGAGACACTGTGGGTGAGACACTGGGTGAAACTGTGGTGAGACACTGGGTGAGACACCTGTGGAGACATGGGAGATACAATGTGGGTGAGACACTGGTGAGACACTGTGGGAGAAGGTGAGACACTTGTGGGGTGAGACACTGGTGAGACACTGTGAGAGAGAACTGTGGGTGAGACACTGGTGAGACATGTGGAGAGACATGTGGGTGAGACACTGGATGAGACATGTGAAGAGCATGTGGGTGAGACACATAGGTGAGACACTGTGGGTGAGGACACTGTGGGAGAGACACTGTGGTGAGACAATATGGGAGAGACACTGGGGAGACACTGGGGAGACACTGTGGAGAAGGGAGAGACACTGTGGGAGACTGGTGAGACACTTGGGAAGACACTGAGACACTATGAGGACCAGTATGGGAGAGGCACTGTGGGAAAGCACTGGTTGACGAACTGTGGGAGCCACTCTAGGAGAAAGAGGCAGTATGAAGAAACACTGAGAGACACTAGGAGACATTGAAAGCCACTGGGAGACACTGAGAGACACTAAGAGACACTCACCTGAGACACTCAGATACACTCGCATTATCTGAGGGGGATGGGTTGATATTTGGCATTCATAAAGGCCTTCGTCTCTCTTCTGAGCGTACCGTATCTGTAGCTTCCAGTTGTTGGGGTACTCGTAGCTGAGAGTGTACCTGTGGAACGGTACAGTGCTCAGTGTGTATCTGTGGAACGGTACAGTGGCCAGTGTGTACCTGTGGAACTGTACAGTGGCCAGTGCGTACCTGTGGAACGGTACAGTGGCCAGTGTGTACCTGTGGAACGGTAGAGTGGCCAGTGTGTACCGCAGAAGAAAAAAAACACATAGATAGTCCTAATGAAGGACAAATTTTTTTTTGGACAGTTGAAATGCGCAAAAGAAACGAAAAAAAAAAGTAATAATTCCCGATGCAGTAAGTCTCCATGGACCTTTTTTGGTCATATGACCGATGCCTTGAGCTGGCTTCCCCATTCAACCTGTATCAATATCCACAGAATCCATCGTTGTAAGATACGGTGGTGGATCCTCTATCACAGTATACAAAGGATCAATGCGCACTTAAAGAGGATCGCCACTCACACTTGCCATCCTAAGATCACTGTGTGATTCATACATACATCGGATTAACAATTTATTCATTGGGTGAACCAGTTCTGTATTAGGGTTCGAATCTATCTAATATACGAGGGTCATTAAGGCTGCATGTCACCTGTTGATCACCAGTCAAGAATACTTTAATACCTGGAAATAAATGGTATAAAATACCGACACAATGGATCTCCTTTCCAAGCTACCCAAGATTTTAGACTCTATAACCCCACTCGGTACATCATCAGATGCAGCATTCTCCACCTGACCTCAGCATTCTGAACCTGACTATAAATACTCGCGTTCCTTCCACCCCAGGTAGTTCTGTTTGTGACTTGAAAAAGCCCACTGCGTGGGCGAAACGTAGTCAATAAAGGATCACATTATACTGCATATGTGTTTATATTTCCACTTTAATACCTAAATTAGGGATTAAAGCAAACTCTCAGCGTAAATACTCTGAATCACATACCTCTCAGTGTATCTACAAAGGGCCATACACCTCTCAGTATATAAATCCTATATAAATGGCCTCTCTATTTTAGCTTTCTGAAGGAGTATGACATTTTTGACAATTGTTATGTCCAAAATCATGCTAGAAAATAAGCTGAATGCGGTTAACTAACACGGAAGTTGACCTGATTGAAAATAAGCTGGGAAAAAATAGCTATAGACTGTAAATGGACATATTTAATTATGCCGGTTGTGTCATGGGTACGCGTCTCACCTCTTCCTTCCCACCTCCTGTTCCTCTGACACTTCCTGTTCCTTCCCACCTCCTGTTCCTCTGACACTTCCTGTTCCTTCCCACCTCCTGTTCCTCTGACACTTCCTGTTCCTTCCCACCCCCTGTTCCTCTGCACTTCCTGTTCCTTCCCACCTCCTGTTCCTCTGACATTTCCTGTTCCTTCCACCTCCTGTTCCTCTGACACTTCCTGTTCCTTCCCACCTCCTGTTCCTGACACTTCCTGTTCCTTCCCACCTCCTGTTCCTCTGACACTTCCTGTTCCTTCCCACCTCCTGTTCCTCTGACATTTCCTGTTCCTTCCCACCTCCTGTTCCTCTGACACTTCCTGTTCCTTCCCACCTCCTGTTCCTCTGACACTTCCTGTTCCTTCCCACCTCCTGTTCCTCTGACACTTCCTGTTCCTTCCCACCCCTGTTCCTCTGGCACTTCCTGTTCCTTCCCACCTCCTGTTCCTCTGACACTTCCTGTTCCTTCCCACCTCCTGTTCCTCTGACACTTCCTGTTCCTTCCCACCTCCTGTTCCTCTGGCACTTCCTGTTCCTTCCCACCTCCTGTTCCTCTGACACTTTCTGTTCCTTCCCACCTCCTGTTCCTCTGACACTTCCTGTTCCTTCCCACCTCCTGTTCCTCTGGCACTTCCTGTTCCTTCCCACCTCCTGTTCCTCTGACACTTCCTGTTCCTTCCCACCTCCTGTTCCTCTGGCACTTCCTGTTCCTTCCCACCTCCTGTTCCTCTGGCACTTCCTGTTCCTTCCCACCTCCTGTTCCTCTGGCACTTCCTGTTCCTTCCACCTCCTGTTCCTCTGGCACTTCCTATTCCTTCCCACCTCCTGTTCCTCTGGCACTTCCTGTTCCTTCCCACCTCCTGTTCCTCTGACACTTCCTGTTCCTTCCCATCTTCTGTTCCTCTGGTACTTCCTGTTCCTTCCCATCTTCTGTTTCTCTGGTACTTCCTGTTAATTCCCACCATCTGTTCCTCTGGTACTTCCTGTTCCTCTGGTACTTCCTGTTCCTCTTTTACTTCCTGTTCCTCTGGCACTTCCTGTTCCTTCCCACCTCCTGGTGCTTCCTGGTCCTAAGGTAACTCTTCTTCCTCTGGCACTTCCTCTTACAGTGCCAGTCTTCACACCTGTGTTTATTTCTTGTTCTCTCTGCTTAACTTGTTTCCTCTTAAAAATTTACACCCACTAACTTCCTCAACAATTTCCACTCTGGAGTTTTAAATGTCCTGAGAAGCGGAAAATTTAGTGATGAATTTTTTTTCAAGTGGTACTGCACATTTTTCTTCCTACCTCTGCCACTTATCTTCCTACATCTGCCACTTATCTTCCTACCTCTGCCACTTATCTTCCTACCTCTGCCACTTTTCTTCCTACCCTTGCCACTTTTCCTTTTATCCGCCTAATGCAAAGTCACGAAGATTGGGGAAGGGTAAGGAAGACTGCAGACAAAGTACAGTCTAGGTGGCCAAAGACTGCAAACCTCTCTCAAGGAAAAGAATCTTGGGGTGAGTATAACACTGAGCACATCTCCTGAGGCGCACGTCAACCAGATAACTGCTGCAGCATACGGGCGCCTGGCAAACCTGAAAATAGCGTTCCAATACTCAGTAAGGAATCGTTCAAGACATCGTACACTGTGTACATCAGGCCCATACTGGAGTATGCTGCACCAGTTTGGAACCCACACCTTGTCAAGCACGTCAAGAAATTAGAGAAAGTGCAAAGGTTTGCAACAAGATTAGTCCCAGAGCTAAGGGGATTGTCTTGCGAAGAAAGGTTAAGGGAAATCGGCCTGACGACACTGGAGGACAGGAGACATAGGGTAGATATGATAGCGACATATAAAATACGGCGAGAAATTGACAAGGTGGACAAACATAGGATGTTCTAGAGATGGGACACAGAAACAAGGGGTCACAATTGGAAGTTGAAAACTGAGATGAGTCAAGGAGATGTTAGGAAGTATTTCTTCAGTCATAGAGTAGTCAGGACGTGGAATAGTCTGGTAAGTGATGTAGTGGAGGCAGGAACCATACATAGTTTTAAGACGAAGTATGATAAAACTCATGGAGCAGGGAGAGAGAGGACTTAGTAGCGATCAGTGAAGAGGCGGGGGCAGGAGCTATGAATCGACCCCTGCAACCACAAATAGGTGAGTACACACACACACACACACACACACACACACACACCATTAATAACACAGGAATAAGACTTGTTCAGAAGCGTGTCTTCTGGTTTTTCCTGCTGAAGTTTGAACAAATCTCTGGCGACGGTGTGATAAAGAGGCAAAGTCTGAGAAATGGTGCGAGTGTTGGTGAGACAGATGGTATAGATTAAGTCTGACGACATGGGTGGAGGTAGGGATGACAAGAGGAATTTGGCAGTTGTGTGTGTGTTGTGTGTGTGTGTGTGTGTGTGTGTGTGTACTTGCCTATTTGTGGTTGCAGGGATCGATTCACAGCTCCTGGCCCAGATTTATCTCTAGTTACTACTAGATTCACTCTCTCCCTGCTCCAACAGCTTTGTCGTATCTCTCCTTATAGCTATGTATGGATCTTGCCTCCACTGCATCACTCTCCAGATTGTTCCACTTGCTGACACCTATGTGTGTATGTGTGTGCTCTCACCTGAATGTACTCACCAATGTGGGGAAGTCAGACAAGTTAACTGATTCCCCGAAACTGTTAGTCACTAATAGGCCTGTGTTTTGAGTGGTGCAAAGATCGCGACACCTGATCCCTTTTACCTAACAAGACTAGGTAGAGAGGGCGACCTACCCTTCACTAGGCCAGCACAGTGAGCAACACACTCTAACATTCGCTAATTACATTACAAAGGTGAGTGTGCACTTTCAATGTTCCATCACGTACGGACGGGACGATTGATCTTGTGCACAAAGCCGGGTGCTGTAAAGTAACTCATACCTGAGGAAGTGACCTGAGGAAGTAGCCTCAGGAAGTGTCCTGAGGAGCTGACCTAACGAACACTGAGGATGACTCCGGGAAAGCAGAATCAGTGTGACATTAAACATTACTTGGGAACGTTCAGCGAGTGTTTAAGACGTTCTGAACGAAGTAATTGTGGTAGGAGACATGAATGTTAAAGTGGGTAAGTCTGATATGCTGGGTGTAAATGATGATTGGGAGGGGGGGAGATGTTCCTAAGTGACGATTGTAAGTGACGATTGTAAGTGACGATTGTAAGTAACGATGGTAAGTGACGATGGTAAGTGACGATGGTAAGTAACGATGGTAAGTAACGATGGTAAGTGACGATGGCAAGTAACGATGGTAAGTGACGATGGTAAGTAGCGATGGTAAATAACGATGGTAAGTGACGATGGCAAGTAACGATGGTAAGTGACGATGGTAAGTAACGATGGTAAGTAACGATGGTAAGTAACGATGGTAAGTAACAATGGTAAGTGACGATAGTAAGTGACGATGGTAAGTAACATGGTAAGTAACGATGGTAAGTAACGATAGTAAGAGACGATGGTAAGTAACGATGAAGTAACGATGGTAAGTAACAATGGTAAGTAACGATGGTAAGTAACGATGGTAAGTAACGATGGTAAGTAACGATGATAAGTGACGATGGTAAGTAACGATGGTAAGTGACGATGGCAAGTAACGATGGTAAATGACGATGGTAAGTAACGATGAAGTAACGATGGTAAGTAACAATGGTAAGTAACGATGGTAAGTGACGATGGTAAGTAACGATGGTAAGTAACGATGGTAAGTGTTTGTTAACAATACCATTGATTACGCATTTAAAGGTAAACTAACCAGTACTACCCACGTGTGGGAG